CCTGATATCATCTAGTTGAATGTAAACATCACTCTAACTAAAAAAAAATCGTGACTTTTGTCTCCTTGTGTAACAGTCATTCCACAGAATTTTCTGTCATAAAGATTATTTGGATTGGGTGGGCTTTTCTGGTTTTTAATAACATACATCTCGTATGTCAATAAAGCAATCAGCAGTCTATTTAATAAATATTAAATAGGTGATTTTTCACAGATCTATAAACTGAAGATTGTCAACAAGTATGTTGCATCTTTATGAGCAAGTGGTACTCACATGGTTCGGAAAGTCAGCCTTCAGTTCAGCGATACTTTTACACCAATATGCTGCTGTTTTCTCGCTGATCAGCTCAATGTTCAGGAAAGAGCCTTGGCCTGGGCCGTACACAGGACCTGAAGTAATTCCACGCACAATCCTCGGAGAAACATTGGTCACAATATCCTGCAAAACAGTGACAGCTTTCAGATTGGTTTTGCAAAGCGAAGCATACATATATCAATGATGTCTGTGACATAACATAAACTTAAACGTATCAGGTGTTTTAAAAATGTATTGATATTATGAGTAAAAACTACAATTATAGGCCAGTTCTCTAAATTAGCAGATTCTCTGATTAGATTCTCTGCACCAGAGGAGAAAAATGTTTGCTCTGTGCGTGAAATAGTATGATAACTACCAAGAAAATGCCAATATGGGACTGAGATGCAAAACGTCATTTAGAGAATGCTTTTGCATTGGGTAGAGGTCGTGCAAGACCTTGTGTGAAACCCTGTGTATGCCTCAGTCGTGTAAGAGCATACACGTGAACTATCCCGCCCAAAGAAGATCAAAGTCCATGTCCTACGCTAACAGGTGAAGTGCAAAGAGGTGCTGCCCACCAGCCTCTCCGATGGAACGTCAGGGCCACAGGTCCAAAAGTATACCAGCTTACCTCACTTCATAAATTAAATGATATGACTAAGAGACCAAAATCAAAAAATAAAACCAAAAATAGTGAAAACTAAGATCAATATTGCAAAGCACGACATTTCTGAAGGTCAGCATGAGGTTAGCAAACAATTTTGAAACACACAGTAAACACCCAAAATGTTGACTTGTTTAGGAGTCTTAATTAAGCTGCAATGTCACCGTATCTATACTAACAGAGAACTGTAAATTCTGACATTATTTAAAACTAAAGAGAAACATAGATGGCAAAATGTTCCTTTTGCCAATTTCCAATTAAAAATAATTTTGAGTAAGGGTCATTTATTTACAAATGTATTAGAATTATTTGTTTAAGTACCCCTCCTCACCATCTTGTCATTTTTAGTGAGATAACATGAACCTCCATTAGTATATAGCAATTAAGGTCAATTTACATATTTTAATTAAGAACCATCCCATATAAAACAATTAGGGTAATAGGCATACTAACTGGATTTCATAACATTTGGACGTTTTTCCAACTAGATAGACAGGAAACCTTAATTAGCATTAATTAGCACTGATCTGCATATGTTTGATAAGGCATACCCTTGCCACAAAAGATTATTTATTCCTGAATCTGCCAAATGCTGCAGTTACAGAGGATAAAGGGACTTTTCTTCACATTGTATGTAAATTTGGGAAAATCTTCATCTGCTTATAAAGTTGAATTAATTATTATACAGTAAATATGCACTAATATTTTATACTGATAGATAATTACATGGCCATTTACATATGTAGAAATCATACAAAGTAATCTCCTCAGGTCATCTATTTTCAGGCGTAAGTCTGGAACACGGACATCGCAATAATCCCTAATTTTCCTATTATAATATTTCCCTTCATCACAAAAGCTTTACCTCCCTCTTAACAGTTAAATTATATTTTCAGAAAAAAATAATTCAGAACATTTTCTGAATTTATGCAAACAAAAAGCAAACAGCAAAGTACACTCCCCTCACTCCTGAAATAAATTACAAAAATTGCAGTTTAAGCAGAAGAACTATTTACATCAGTTTGCTCCATATTATCTTCTTGAGCATTTCACTCCTCTTAAATTGCCTCAGAGGAGCTTGTGCTTTGACTTCACCCCAGAAAGCTATTCGTACACACGCACCAGTGCTATCACATCATCCGGCATGAGAAAACGTGCAAAGTCAGTGACTTCGATGCTGGCAATCTGACCTTGCTTCTGCAAGCACAGGGTGCGCATGGTCACTTGCCAACAGATATGGGTTACTTTGACCATGCTGCAAGCGACCACGAGCTTCCTTGTCCCGAGCTCCAAAGCAGTCAGAAGCTACGTAGCTACGGTAGTACGGCACTAAGCCTGAGCTAACAGCCTGTCTGTTGTTAGGAATTACTATTTTTGGGTTCAGTGCAAATTATGATAAGACACACGTGGTATGATTTCCATTTTGTGGCTGGCTTGTGCACGTGTGTATGCCAGACAACGCTTGGAGTCACCTGTAATACTGTTTGTTATCTTACTATGAGCGTGTTTTGATGTTCTTCCAGAATCTCATTTTACTACAGGTAAGAATTAAAAGACTGAGATATTACAGCCTAGATCATACCTTCTGCGAGATACTCACAAAACCTCAGTCTGCTTCCATACGAAAACACTCTCAAGTTTTTGTATCTCGTTTGGGTCTCCAGTCAATCTGTTCTCTCTTCTAAGAACAGAGACCCCTGTTTAGACCCTGCGACCGCCGCCAAATCCCCGCAGCTTCAACTCACTATTTCCCAGAGCTCAGCCATAGCCAACATGAGTGACAATTTATCTCTCCAGGATCCCACGAAGTTGAATCAGGTAAGGCACAGACTTTGCAAACGGTCTCAAAAGCAGCCACTCTTCACTCTGATGACCACAAGAGATATACAGAGCCACACGAAACAGTAAACACACGTACATCTCTCTGCCTCCGTTTCCTCACTCTTGAATTTTCCTTGAGATTTTGTGAGATCCCCCTTGGTGCTCAGGGACCTTCCCCTCCTGCCCCCCGCCAGCAGACAGCTGCTCCTTCGAATGGCAGCTTCCACTGCCTCCCTACTGCCTCTGTGTCACAGGACCCCTCCGCTGTGTCCGTGCGTCACTTCATCCTTCCTGACCAAGCTGCTTCTGCTTCCAAAAATCCTTCCCAGCTTTGAAATCCAAACATTACCACCTGGCTGCTTTCTCTTGGTTCCTCCCGAGAGGGATACGCTGTCCTTATTTAATATCCCATTCCTTGTTTGCCTCTTCTAGCTCAGAGTAAGCTAGATGGAGAGAGCCTGTAATGACTGACACGCTGGCACCTCTCCTGTCTCTTGTTAGCACATGACAGCCCCAGACACAAGGAGACTCTCAGTTCATGGAAACAAAATGGAATTTATAACTCATGTGATGATTCAAGGAATCTGTCTATGTACATACAGAAAAAAAAATCACACAAGTGACAGAAACAAAAATTGTCTCTTTGAGATGAGTGTGAAATACCTACACAGAACTTGCCTTACCATCATCTTCCTCTTCAGTCTCCTGCCACATCTACAAAAGCTGAACGGGGAGAGGGGTAGACAAAGGATCTATTGGCTGGGCTTACCCAATTTAATGTCCTTCTGTCTTAGGAGTGAATTTTACATCTTATCACAGGTTCCTTCACCCAGATGGGCAATTCTGGTGGCTGGCCAACTGTCTCCAAGCAGCAGGTAAGGTCAGAGCAGCTGAGATAGCCATAGTACTCCAGCCCACGGGATTTGTGACAGACCATCTTCTGGTGTTTCAATCGAATACTGACCTTCCCTGTTTGTAGGAATTGTCTGGTCAAATGCTGGCACTCATAATTGCTTTTCTTTTCTGAAACCCCAGCTTTTCCTTTTATCCCAACTGTGCACACAACCCTTTTATTGATAATAATAATTGTGTGCATAAAAAGCCAAAATGGAACTGGAGCAAGCAGCCTGACAGGAAGCACTTCAAGCTTTGAACCAAAAAACTTTTTTGATTTAAAAAAAGCTAACTGCTACAGAGAGATGACCTGACTGATAAGTTGGTCTGGTCCCCACACACAGTTGAAAGTAGAGGTCCGCATACAGGAACAGGAGAATATCTCCAAACTCCAAAATGAATCAAGTATCTAACCTCCCCATGCGATGGAAGCAATAAATAGTCCTTGGGAAAAACAGCACAAAGCTTTCATGTACTCTGAAGACCAAGGATAGAAGACTTTTAATAAAGAGCAACTATGGGAGAAAAAAGCTTATATCTGACCACACTAAAAGACAAGTTATGGAAAAAATGACCTAAAAAAATCATTGGCAATGATAAACAGAATAGTCCATAGAAAATTATTGTGTGGAAATCTTGCAAATTAACATAGACTTGGGGATTAGGGAAACTATATTCCCTATTAGATTACAGCAAAACAACCTGGTTTGGGGGAGTTAATGCAAACAAAGAGAAACAGTGACAACAAATGGAATCAAGGGCCAACTGTGAATCATTAATATTTCAGTTACTGAATTTCTTCTTTTGCCTCAAAAGCTGATTCTTTTCCCCAGGAGAGCACAGCAGAAACAATAACAGCAGTCCCTCAAATATATCTAGCTCAGGACATCACCTACGACAGTGGTGCTACACAGATAAAAGCATCAATATCTTGCTGCTTTTGGATTCCCCTTTTCTGCTTATGAACAATTCTGGTATTCTGGTAACTTGAGACTGAGTTAATTTGCATTACACATATATTTCTGTTCTTGTTGATTAATTAATTAACACACTAGAAGAAAAAAAAAAAAGACCCAAGGCATTGATCAGGCCCCATTCGCTCTAATAATCTCTGAACTCTGCAATCAGATCATTGAATTCTAAACTACTTATCTTTAATGGGCTGGGAGGTTTGAGACATCATCTTCAAGATAAAGCCCAAACTCTCAGCACTTTTTAGCCAGTTAAATTTAAATAAAGGTGCAAATCAATTCATCAGCCCATACCTTAACTGTTCACTCTAAAAGTTGTTTTGCTTCACACTGTCCACATTCGCAGTTAATAATTGTCAGAGATTTTTGTATTGTAAAAACACGGCCATGCTGTTTAAGCTGAGAGAGAGAGACACCTTTGCATTTGGGCAGCAGGGACATTTTGAATTTTAAGGGACCCAAAGGGGTGTCCAGGACAGTGTTAGATCATGCGATAAGCACATTCATTGTGTGTTTCTCCTAAACTAATCAGCAGGGAAATAATTCACGTTGTGAATATTAATATTGTCATCTGTAGGCGTGGAAGTTAATGACCCGTAGAAATTAATCAAGCCATTCACCTCTCTCTGAGTTATTGTTTTAAGGGAATCGAGAAGGCAGCTCTTCATTAACTGGGTTCACATTTTTATTTCATAATCATGTCTCCTAGAAACTTAAAAAAAAAAGGGGGGGGGGGGGGAGAAAAATGTTGTGTAAAGAGGTCAGTTGCAGGAATATATAAAACCAGTCTC